AAAATAGTGCAAAAGCACATGTCGAAAAAACACTTTATCGCGTTCCATTTTTCACAAAGCAAAAGAAATTGTTGTTTAGGAAAATAATTGTGTATGCTGACTGAATGTTATCGAGAAATGTCGAAATTAATCACAAACTACCTGTTTCGTTAGTAATGACTACTAGAACTGTTTGCATTGCCATCTAACATTTGCGGGCGGAAACTAAGTTAAGGTCCTAATATCTGCCCTAAGGGTCTATAAGTGACAAGACAACAAAGTGATCGAATTTTAAAGACATCAGGTATCTAAGGTTTTTTTCAGGTCACTGAATATGAATATATAGTCCAAATTTCAAAATTCAAAGTGGCGGATCCAATATGGCGACCAAAATATGAAAAACATATGTGATTGTAATAAAACTCGGTATCTCTTGTTCAGGTCGCTAAATGTAAATATGAGGTCTTACTCTCATTCGTGAACTGATTGAAAAATATAGTAACGTCGTGCCTGAAACTTCAGGCAAACCTCTTGTTGACTCAAATTCAACAAGGTTATGTGGACGACATTTTATAAGCACGATACCCAAAACGTCTGAAAACTCGCGTATATGTAGAAAGAAATGTGCTGTATGTTCATCACATGATTTGAAAAGAGATACGTCAACTATTTGTACTTACTATACTATACAAAAAAACATTCCGAACATGAGTAAAATATTTCGTCTTTTTTTCTTTTTAATACAAATAAACAAATGTAATAAAAATTAATAAAAAAATTTAAAACAAAGTTAAAATAACATTAAAAAATAAAAATATCGACCAAAATATCAAAATATTATCTGATTGTTATGAAACTCAGTATCTAGGGGTTTTTCAAGTCACTGAATATGAAAATATGATCCTAATTTCAAATTTTTTTCCATTTTTATTTTTTAATGTTTTTGTTTTAAACTTTGTTTAAAATTTTTTAATTAATTTTTATTACATTTGTTTATTTGTATTAAAAAAAAAAAGACAAAATATTTTATTCATGTTCAAGATGTTTTTTTATATAGTAAATTTTAAAACATAAGATGCATAAAAATACATTACAAATAGTTGACGTATCTCTATAGTTGAAGGCAGATCATCTACCATATCGTGCGTGATCATTCATTAATATTCTTTATTTAATATCTCGACTATTATTGTAAATATCGCAAAACGTTATGGGATTTTTCTGTTCATCTGAATCTTTTCTACGTTCCCACAAAATATGCGGAGGAGAGTATGGGACACACTGTATAAATATAATTATATACAGGGTGTTCAAAAAGTCCCGGACCGGTGAAATATCTCGAAAACTAAGCATTTTAGAAAAAAATGTTACAGATAAAAGTTGTGGCGTTTAAAAAGATGTATTTACTGATCACATCAGTTTGACCTTGGGTTGCGTAGCGAAGGTCAGGTCAAGGTCACATTAATTTTTTTAAATGGAACACCCCATTTTTCATTGCATATTCT